TCTCCCTCCTACCAAGACCTAGTACAATCCAGGGTGGGGAAAGTTCCTCTTATAAATGGAAGCATCAGAGTTGAGTTATCCAAGGCTGTTGGTTTCTTTGTGACAGTTCTCCCTCCCTAACATTTTATACTTATTTTGTGGCACTTTATGCAAAAATATGCTCTAAGCTCCTATTGGTTCTATCTTCATAGTTCCCAAATCTGCTCCTCTCATGTCCACTGCCTCTACTGTAGCTTGACTTCATGCCTCACAGAAAGTTGCTCACAATTGGGTTTCTAGCATCTGCCTTCTGATTTCATTTCTTTCCTGCAAATTCATTCTCTTCATTGTTCTCATCCTTCTTGTCTTCCGTTTCCCTTTCTTTTCATCGAATCTTTAAACAACCATTGAGTCTTTAATAAATCTACAGCTTTTGGTCACAGAGAGTGGAGTGAATACCTGAGATTCCACTAAAATCATTATTTCCATGTTCCTTTATCAAGAGCATGTAAAGGAAATAATCAGTGAACGAGAGATTTCAACAAATATTTAGAAGACAGGAAACACATGAGAGCATATCAGAGGAAACAAGGAGGCCAGAGAAACTGGAGGCAGCAGCGGTAGCAGACAAAGGAGCTGACCCATCAGGCAGAAACTCTGAGAGGCTCTGGGCTCAGAGCTGGCAGGCACTGAGGGCAGAGCAAGAAAGTCTCTCTACACCCCCCATATTGGCTCCCCAAATCTAGTGCTCAGGCAAGCCAACTTTAGCCCCCAGGGTAAAAGAACCTTCTCTAAAAAATTAAATAAAATTCTGGATAGTGCTGAAGTTGGGTTTTGTTTTGTTTTTGTGTATTGAGACAGGGTCTCACTCTATCTCCCAGGCCGGAGTGCGGTAGTGCAGTCTCGGCTTATTGCAGCCCCAATCTCCTGGGCTCAAGCAGTCCTCCTGCCTCAGCCGCTTAAGTAGCTGGGACTACAGGTGCATGCCACCACATCCAGCTAATTGGATTGTGCTGAAATTTCACATATGGTTGTTAGCATCCCAGAGAGAACCATTCCTATTCTGGCATGCAAAGGCTCCATACCCCAACATAGCACCTGCTAACTTGGTCTTGAGAGACTAAATATACTGACGGACAATGGCCAGACCACATATAACAACAGAGCTCTAATTCATTACCTGTAGTAACCAGCCCAGAAGCCATCCTACTATCTTGTAAATGAGACTTGCAGGACCTCAGAACTAACTCTCTAGCAACTGGCCCAGGAAGCCAAACAATCAGCCCTGCAACAGTCCCAAACAGCCAGAAGTTGATTAATAACTGTTAGGTCTCCTAATTTCTATCCCTGGGATTGAAAGACTGAATCTACAAATGAGCAATGGGTAGCTGTATAGAAAACAGGATTCTGACCCACAAGTAGCCAACCTACTAACTGCACTCAGGAAAGGCTTCAGGAAGATCCAGTCCAGGGAGCCAAAGAATAACCCCTATCACAATCGACCCAACATGGCCCAGAATTTATTAATAATATCCAGCTTTCTTAGTTTTGGCTCCATTTCCAACTTAGGACCAATCAGAAAAAGCTAAATATATTCCCTGAACCAAACACATAGGATGGCCATTTCTAGGTAGCCTGCCTATAGCTTGCCCCTGCTCACACAGCCTCTGAGCCTAGCAGATCCAAAGACATCCTGTTTTTTGAGATGGAGTCTTGCACTGTTGCCCAGACTGGAGTTCAGTGGCACAATCTCAGCTCACTGCAACCTCTGCCTCCGGGGTTCAAGCGATTCTCCTGCCTCAGCCATCTGAGTAGCTGGGCTTACAGGTGCCTGCCACCATGCCCAGCTAATTTTTTGTATTTTTGGTAGAGACAGGGTTTCACTATGTTGGCCAGGATGGTCTCAAACTCCTGACCTCAGGTGATCTGTCCACCTCAATCTCCCAAAGTGCTGGGATTAAAGGCGTGTGCCACAGCACCTGGCCAAAGCCTTCCCTTTTATCTGCTCTAAATCTTTCCCACTCTCCTCCCTGCCTTGAGTCTCTGGCAAAATGCAAGTGATGACTCCCTTGCAAGCTCTGAACAAATAGCCTTTGCTTGTTCTTATTTGAGTGCTCTTGGTTAATTTTCACACTCTGAAGCAAGGTCTCTCTCTCAGCAAACTCCTCCCACATACCCAGAACTCTCCAGTAGGGCTGCTATTTAAGGGAAATGAAGATCCTTATATACAACCATGGAGGAAATCTGTACTAGCTTACTATACAAATCAACCCAGCTCCTCACTGTTAAATATGACAGCCAAAGCCACCAGACTCAGAGAGAACCAGCAGCATGCAGAACATCAAAAAAACAGAGCAGATTGACCTTGGAGGAAACAGGTCACTCAGAGACTCGAAACAAGGTTAAAAACATTGTAATTAGATCTTCAGTGAGATTTGAGAAGATACTACATCCATGAATCAAAAACAACAAGCTGTGAAAAACAAGGAAATAAAAAGGTCTCCTGGAAATTAGAAGTGGATTGCCAGAATTTAAAAGAATGGAAGATTACGTTGATAAATTCAAGCAGAGCTGAGAGCAAAAAGATAGTCTGAATGTGTGGCAGAAAAGGTCAGCCATATTTTGTAACTTTTTCATAGCTGAATCCAGAAATGGTTAGAAGGGGTGCTCCCTGGCTAAGAGCCTGGTAAACAGGTGAGCTGGCAGCCACTCTATTGCTTTGCATTAGAAATCCTTTGGCCTTTGTGTGTGAGCCATGTGCATGGATCACTCTGATTAAAACACACAATCTAACTGCAAATCTGACAGTTCTACGCCATTGCTTAAAATCCATCACTCCTGTTGACCAAAATTAAGGCTATTTGTAATAATTTGTAAAGGTTTGTTGGAAGCAGAAACAATTCGTAAAGATTTATTGGAAGCCAGTATTGACCCAGGAAGACACACTAACAAAGTTGGAAGTCTTCTGGAGTCTGCTACATGTGGGAAGGCTCTTTATAGGAAAGCTTAGGAGAAGGGAGGGGACTTCTCATACCAAAGTAGTCCATTTCATTGGAGGGTACAACAGGTTACAGCCATTGGATACAGATCGCAACATACAGGCTAAAATATCTGTGTGGAAGACAATAGAACTTTAATATGTAGATATAAATCAGCACCCTTTTCAATGTCGGTAGGCTACACATTAATCACTATGTTAACAATCTGGAAACTCATAATAAGATTCTTTCTCAGGGACAGGATGTCACCATGAATCACAAGACCTTCCCCAGGTGGGTTAATTTGGAAGCCTGTTTAAACTGTCAAATGTGACCCATAGGTAATGACTCCTGATCACATGAAGGGGTAGGACTCAGTCTCTTTCCTGACTGTGGCTTGCCACAAGCCATCCCTCCCTCTCTGCAACCACTCCCAAATCCACTTCAGTTCCACTCAACTATGGAGCAGGCTGTTCAGTGTAAGCCTGTGAGCTGGAACTGTGGGTTCAGACTTAGCTGGTTTCAAACCTACTTATATGTATGTCCCAATCTGAAAAATGAGAATAATAATAAATAAGGAAAATATAATACAATGAGGATAACAGGCTTTTGTGAGGATCAAATGAGCCAACATATATTACATAATTCCCAGAGATCCAGGGTGCATGGTAAGTGATCGTGAAGTATGAAATTGTTAGGGCTTCCTGACTACTCTTGTTTGGCCACTCCAATTTTAACCTTCCTTTGGCCATTCTTCATAAACACGTTAAAAAGGGCATTAACCTCTCTGCTTTATTATCAAGCACACAGCCACAGATACCTCAGTTTTCTATTTTTAAGAGATTTTAAATTTCTTAAGCTCTTTAAAAGATTTTTTGATACATTTATATGTACTTTTGAAGTCACAATTATTGATTAAGAGCAGTTGAAGGTCCTGCCTCATATGGCTCATACCTTGGGGCCTTCACTGGGTTTTCACTCGCACTTCCCTTCTGTTCTCAGTGAGCTTCCCTCCTCCTTTGGGGCTCCTGCCTCACTCACCCCTTTGTGAGGCTTTGTGAGGAACCCCCACCCAGCTCCTTTCTTTCAGACTTCCTATGAACATCTTTGTCCCCACTGCAGCTGTTATCTTTCTTCTACGCTAGACACTGAGGGCCGTGCTTGGCAGGACTCTCTTTGTTGGTTTTGTGACTCCAGTGCCTCTCCTGAGACAAGGTCTGCTCAGTAGATGAGCCTGTGAGGCCAGTGCAGAAGGAATGGAGGCTGAGTTTAACCAATGAGTGGGGCTGGCTGGTGCCTGGCAAGAATAAGCAGTTGTTAGAAAAGCCAGTCAAATCAAGTGCAGCCAAGCTAGAATCTTCTCTTTGTCAAAGAAAAGATTGTGGGGAAAGCATCCTGTAGTGCTGGGAAACCGCCTGGCTCCAGGATCTGGAAGGTGCTGGGTGGGTAGGTCGGCTGCTGGTCCACTTGCAGCCAGGGTGTGAGGTCAGGGCCCTGTCCCCAGTTCAATTCTAATGCTTCCATCTTCAGGTCATGGCACACTATCTGAGAAGCATACACTATCTCCTGGCAAACAGGTTGCTAGCTTTTTCCTTTTTCTTCCTTCTTTTTCATAAGTTAAATCCAACTAACTCATTCCTTTCAGCAGAGAGAGAAACCAAGGCAGTCTTAATGAAGATCACAGGAGTTGCCCAAAGTCACATAGAAAGCAGAAAGGCCGGCCGGGCGCGGTGGCTCAAGCCTATAATCCCAGCACTTTGGGAGGCCAAGGCAGGTGGATCACGAGGTCAACAGATCGAGACCATCCTGGTCAACATGGTGAAACCCCGTCTCTACTAAAAATTACAAAAAATTAGCTGGTCATGGTGGCATGTGCCTGTAATCCCAGCTACTCAGGAGGCTGAGGCAGGAGAATTGCCTGAACCCAGGGGCGGAGGTTGCGGTGAGCCGAGATTGTGCCATTGCACTCCAGCCTGGGTAACAAGAGCGAAACTCCGTCTCAAAAAAAAAAAAAAAAGAAAAAAAGAAAGCAGAAAGGCCAGATTAGAACTCAGATTTCCAAAATTTTAGACCAGTGTGCTGTGATTCTGGGGGTAAAATGAATGGGTTAAAAGGAAAGAGGGAACCCTGGAAGCAGTCAATGTAGCCACTTCAATTTTGGTAGCCAAATTAGAACTGATGTGCCGGGTGGCCCCATCCCTCACCCTGGCTCTAGGGATGTCTTTGTAAGGTGTGTCACTTATTGAAAAAAGGGGGCATTGAAAGTACTCCCATCAGAGAAGTGTTGTGAGGATGTGCAGCAGATATTAAGAAGTTAATAATTGTTAGGCAAGTAACAACCTAACTTTGAGACTTCGGTACAGCAAGCAAACTGACTCCCACTGTGTGCATGTTGGGTCCCTGCCCATAAAGCTAAAACAGGAAGTCAAGTAGAGGAGAGGTCAACTGCTGATTTATTGGAGACACCATTGGAGGAGAGGAGGCCAGGGCTGCCACTATCAGCTGTCACAGAAAGGGGTGGGCGTGCACTGGATGGGAAGATGCTTGAGCCCCTTGAAAGTTCCCGTTTCTTAAGGCAGGTGGGGGCCAGTCACCTTGGCACTCCCTGCCCCCAACTGCCTCCCAGGCCAGCTAAGGCAGAGCAGAGCAGTGGAAGGGGCCTCAGACCAAATGTGCAGGGCTCAGGCACCAGCCGCTGAAGCCTCAGTGGTCACTTCCTTCCTCAGGCCCTTCCCTAGGAGCAGTGGCATGGGCTGGGGACTGGGTAGGACTGCAGACCCTAGCCTGTGCCACTGCATTTAGGGGAAGGCCTGAGGAAACAGGTGGCCATGGCCTGGCCTGACCAATAGTTGGTGGATGTGCAGGAGTGTGAGTGGGAGAAGAAGGGCTCTCAGGAAAGGAATGGCAGCAACAGAGAGCAGACAACGAGGGCATAGGACAGTTCCCAGGATGGGGCAGGGCTGGCAAAGAGGCGGGCCACGGCCACGTTGGGGTTGCCCTGAGCAGGCTCAAACCACTTCTGGAGACACCGCCCACTGTTCCGTCGCTCAGGGCTGGCCTTGAAGGAATTGCTCCAAGTCTTCTCACACAGGTCAGCTGGGGTAGGGAAGTAATGGGAGAAAGGGAGGCACTGGGCCCCTTTAGGGCAGCGGTTCTTCCCTGCAGGAGATGGAGGAGGGACAGCTTACCTCCTATGCCCTAATCCCTAGCCTTTGCACCTACACCCTTGTGGGGGCCACCAAGGAGCCTGCTCCCCCCACCCAAGGCCTTGTCAGCACCACTCACCCTGACTCCAGTCCCAGCTGCCATGCCAGTTGGATTTGCAGGTGTAAGACGTGCGACAGTCTTCCCACCACTCCTCACAGTCCTCCTGGCACAGCGGTGCATTCACAACTCGCTCTCCCTGCCCACTTGGGGCCGCCTGCATGTAGTCATAGCCGGAGATCAGAACAATAATAGCAGAGAAGTGAAGACTACTAATAGCTACAGTGGTATTTGTGCCAGGTACACATATAATGTATATGTGTATACATTATATGTATACACATCTTTTATATGGTCTCTAAGTATTATTTTACAAATAATACCACTGAGGCTGAGATTGAATAGTTTGTCCTGGGCTGTACAGCTGGTAAGTACAGAACATGAGACTGAAACTTGGGTCCATCTAAATCCACCAAGCCTCCCTCGGTGATAGCCCCTCATCCCACTGTTGTCGGAACAGTCTCCCCCATGTGGTTCTCCAGCCGGGGCCTCTGGCTCTGCTCTTGTCCGTAGGGAGGTAACACCTCCTGTTCTTACTAGTATCTTAGAGGCATCAGCATAAGATGGGATGAAAGTGCTGGCTGTTAGCACAATAACAGGGTGTTGTACAGATCTTCCTCTTACCTCCCACTCCAGGCTTCCCACTGGCTGGATCCAGGGCCCCAGGTTTGGGGAGCACTCATAGAAGCAGATGGCCTGGATGAAGTGCTTCCGACAGCCAGGCATCAGCAGTCCACAGTGAAACAGGCTGAAGTTGTAGAGTGGAGACACATCTAGGTGGGCTTTCCAGCTTGTCCCGAATGTGCAGCAGGCATTGTCCTTCCAGGGGATGCACTGAAGCCAGAGGAAGAAACAAAAGGCCCAGGCATAAGGGGCAAGGACTGCTGACTGTCCAGGGAAGAAGGGCGGTGGAATGAAAATGTCCCTTAGGAGAAGGCCTGAGCAAGTGGAATGCCTTTAGCTGGTAAGCCCCTACATAAGAGGAACCCTGATAATCTTTCGATATTTACCCAAAAAGCAGAGGCACCTGCACACTGACTTTCTTCCACAGGCTGCTGCAGCCCTCTAGGAACACAACTTCTAGGCTCTCAGCTCCTGAGAGGCAGCAGAAGCATTTTAGGGCAAAACAGGTAGAAGAGCCTCAGCAAGACCCAGGAGAATCTGGGATTGCATGCCAGCTGTATTCTTGCCCCCATATCCCTGGCAATTGCCTTTAGGAGCTTGGGGAGGGGTCACGTAAGTCATATGCTTCCCCAGGATGTGTTGGCAGGAAGGCTTGTTTCATCTATGCTGGTCACCAATGGACCTCTAGGATCACCATCTATCCCTGCTTTCCTAGCGGCTGGAGCAGTCAGAAACGGGAACTTTGAATCACTTGGCGCTATGGTCTCAAAAAGGCATAGGCTCTTTCCATCTAGTTGCCTTTGCTCAAATCCCAACCCCAGGAACCAAATGATCAGGGTTGATGAGGTCCAAAGACTACCCTGGCATTTGTGTCCCTTCCCTGATCTTCCCCGTCTCATCCCCAGGTCTGGCCTCTGTACCTCATCGTAGAGCTTGTCTTCTGGGCCGGGCTTTCCCTTGTGGTGTTTGTCATCCATGCAGATGTTGAGCAGCTCGTCCCCAGGCCAGGTGGGCATGACTGTCCACAGCTCTAGCAGGAGCGGCCACCACCATGCCATGGTCTGTTGCAGAGACACCTATGCTGCACACTCCATGGAAAGGCCACCCCACACTACCCCCTCCCTCATAGCAGGCACTGAAAAAGGAGGATGGACTTCAATCTTTCTCAAGTGACTGCAACACTCTGGCTGCTTCTAGGACCTTCTTTTGGAGGCAGCATCACAGAAAGTCAGGGCAGGCGAATAATCCTTGGAGGCCTGACACAGTGCTGGAGGCCTTGCTGGCCCAGCAGAGCCAGGGTCATGCCCAGGCATGAGTCAGACAGGAGGAACCTTCCACATTTAAAGCCTGATCCCCATCACAGGAATGAGGAGGATGGCCCTTCCTCTGGTGTTCCTCAAGCACTATATTTCCAACTCTGTTCTGGGTAGTAGTGGTAACGAGAGGTAGAGGAAAGAGACAAAACAAAGCAGAAGGCAGAGGGGCCCTGGGCCTCAAACTCTCAACCACTTAGGAAACAAGGCACCTCAGTTTCATGACCTAGGAGCCCATGGCTCCCCCAACCCCTGGGTCTGGCATTAGCCTGATCTGGACCCATCATAGTGAAATTGGAAACTTCTAGCCTACCGGAGCTAAGAGCCTCAGACATCCTGGGGAAGAAGAGCCCAGCCCCCTCTTCAGAGCCCATCCTCAAGTCTAAATCTAAGGCTGTTTCTCTCCAGAGCACCAGTTTCACCTCAGCCATGGCCTCAAATAGTTTTAAAGAGTCAGGTCTGTTAGCTAAAAGGAGGAAAGATGCTGCCCCTTCCAGCACTCTCTTCATACTCACTTTCAAGGCAGGAGTCTCCAGGTGCTCCTGCTCCCTTCTACCCCTGAGACTGTGAGGCTGAGAGGAGTTCCATGTCCCGCCCACTTATTACCAAGCCTGGTTTCTACTAGGTTCAGGTGCAGGAGCAGAACTCCACGTGGCTCCCATTAAATAGCCTCTGTCTCACCCAGCTCTGCAGGCCTCCTGTGGGTTCTGAGGGAGTTTGCTTCCCGAGAGAAACAAAGACCCCGTCAGAGGCAGGATCCGGGGCTCTTCAATAAGTTGCTGGGTTGAGCTCTCAGCTCTGCTACTCAATAGCTGGCTGCCCTGGAGAAAATGGCTCAAACTCTCTGTAAGTTTCTCCCTCTGTAAAGGAAGTTTTTATTATGGGATTGGGAAAAATGAAGAGAAAGTTCATGGGAAAAAAAAAACACTTGGCATTGTGCCTGGGATAGAGGAAGTCTTATGGTTTTATTGTTTATTCTTTTATCTTTTTATATTCCTTATCTTTTATCGTTTGTCCCCTGAAGACTCTCTCTACACCGCCCTCCTGTGTTCTGTTCTGTAGCTCTACCTGCCCCTTCACTGTTAGCCAAGCATCAGCTCAGTCCCCTGGTGGCTTTTCTGACAGTGTTCTTGCACAGCCCACAGGAGCGAGTTTCCCTTCTCGAGAGCAGATCCAGCAGGCAGGGTGCAGAGATGAAGTGTGGCTTTGGAGACCCAAGAATTTAAACATATGAACAAAGCAAAGAAAGTACCTCCGTAACCCACCAAACAGCCTCCCTTAGCACACAGGAATCGGTGTCCTGTGAAACATTCTACAAGTGTTCTCAGCAGTGATAATATTTGCAAGACTGTACTTTTCAGCTAAGGAGAGGCTGGAAACTTGGATAGGATTCTTGGGAGAGTCCCAAAGATAATAAAAAGCTGGAAAAGGAGTATATTTCTTTGTTTTTATAATATGTTCTCTCTGATAGAGAAGTAGCTGAAATCACTGAAGTTTTATTGATGCTAAGGAAATGAAAACACTGAAAGCATTTTTTAATGGAATAGAATAAAATGCATTCTGTGGTGTTCAGCTACAAAACTGATGTGTAAAACCTACTCATGTTGAAAGATGACATTCTCCACAGCTGGGTGATCATAGCAAGGACCCAGGCACAAGGCTGGTGCTGTCTACAGGGTCTGATGTCTGAAAAAGACCACCAGTGAGAACACCCTCCTTGATTTAGCTGTGGGGAAACTGAGGCTCAGTGGCGAGTTGCAGAGCTGGGTTATAAATTGAGGTATACTTAACTCCCTATCTAATGCTGAAGGACCAGGTGAAAGAGAAACCTCTAGGACTAAAAGAGTAGATACGGTCTGGGTCTCAGGTGAAGTCTGCTTTTTTTTTTTAAGTTAAATACTATAATGAGGTTGTGCATGCATTGTGAGGTGTGTGTTGGCTTTATTCTAGGACAGTGATGCTTACCAACCCAGCCTCCCATATCCCCACCTTAAGCAGAGCCTGGAGCCTCCTCTTGAGGGTCAGATACCACATGGTAGCAGCACCTCTGTAGCCTAACAAGGGGAGAAGCAGTCTCTCATGTTCTGCTCAGTTCCTCACGAATATACAGGAAGCTCCAAGTCTTGACAAGGTAAGAGATTTGGGGTTTAAAATGGCTGTGGAGGTGCCAGAGCCAAGAATCCAGACATGAATAATTATTGAAATGGAAATAGGTCCTCTGGTAACTGTACTTCACAGGGAGGGAAGAAGGACGAAGGGCGACTTGCTAACGATCTCCAGAACGAAGCTGTAGGAAATGAGCTAAAATTGCAGCCAGCACCGATGCAGGTGGAGGGAGAGAGGGAGGAATTACCCAGAGAGCAAGGCTGCCTTTCAGAGAACCATCAGGCTGACCAGCATCTACTCTCAGCAGACATAGCTTGCAACCCTTGAGCAAAGCTCATTTTTGCCTTATTGTGAATGAGTCTTCCAGAGAAATCTGTTTTCCCACTGAAAGCAGATAAATCAAAGCTAACTGTAGATGAAGCCATTTGAAGCGGCTGATTCAAAACAATTTTTTTTTCTAAAAAAACACAACACAAACACACAGCAAAACAGAACACTTAAATTTCCAAAAGAAGAGGTACAGCAGACTTTAGAGGGCTCTGAGGGAGGACAAGGAGGGCAGGGCAGTGGGTAAAGCAACCCATCCGTAGCTCTGGATTGGGGCCACTAGGGATGCCGGGCAGTGATGACTTCCCTCCCCTCATCCATCCTGAGGTCATCCCAGGGCCTGAAGCCCACTGAGTTCGAGAACAGACTATGAAAGTGAATAACTAGATCCAAGAGTCTCCTGGTGAGAATCTGATGTCAGAGGCCAGCCGGAGGACACTTCAGTGATTCAGAGTTCTTAGTGGGTCTCATGAATTCTCACCCAAAACCCGAATGACCATCCTCATCTAAACTCTTGACTGGTTTCTGGTCAGGGCAGGTAAACAGGGATATTAATTTATCCATCCCTCTATGTCTACCCCATCGCCAGAGCTGTTGATTTAACTTTCTAAATCTCTCTTGAATTCACATCCCTTACTTCCTGTCTGGACCATGGTCAGCTCTTTCCTTAATTACTGCAACAACCTCCAAATTAGAGCTCTCCCATCATTTTCTTTAACCATGTAGCAGTCATAATGATGTGATTTCTCAGGATTTTTTTTAATTTGTATACATTTAAGGGGTATAAGTGCAGTCTGGTTACATGGATATATTGCATAGTGATGGAGTCTGCACTTTTAGTGTACCCATTACCTGAGTGACATACATTGTACTCATTACATAATTTCTCATACCTCACCCCCTCCCGCCCTTCCGAATCTCTAACATCTGTTATTCCATGCTCCATGTCCATGTGTACACATTATTCAAACTAGCTTCCACTTTTAAGTGAGAAAATGCAGTATTTGACTTTTTGTTTGAGTTGTTTTACTTAAGATAGTGGCTTCAGTTCCATCCATGTTACTGCAAAAAACATGATTTCATTCTTTTGTATGGATGAGTAGTGTTTCATTGTATATTACCATATTTACTTTGTCCATTCATCTGTCAATGGACACTTAAGTTGATTTACTATTGTAAACATAAGAATGCAGGTATATTTTTCATGTAATTCTTTTATCAGTATTTTAATTATGAAAGTCTTCAAACATAAAGTTGAGATAATTTTATAGTGAACTAACTCTCATATGCCCAGCACTTAGATTTCACCATTACCATTTTATCATATTTTCTTTATTATATATTTAGCCAACTATCATTTTCTCCATCGAGGTATCAGTCTTACTATTTTTATGCATTTCAAAGTAAATTGCAAATATCAGCAAACTGATGTTTTCCTCAGTAATTCAAGCATGCATATCATTAACCAGTGTTCAGCATTTGTTTGCAGTCTTGTTTTTCAGAATGATCTTTTAAAAATGTAAAGACAGTTATGACACTCCCATGTTTAAAATCTTTTTAGACCTTAAGGTAAGTCCCAGGTCCTTAACATGGCACACCAGCCCTTTTAAATGTGGTTTTAATTTACTTTTCAATCTTAATCTGTTGTCCTTGCTCTCACCGATGCTCCAGGCATTGCTGAGGCCTGACGGCCTGTCACTGCACTGCCCCTTACAGGGGCCCCTCTTCCGGGGCTGTTCTGTCATAGCCCGCCCTCTGTGTCTAGGGATACTTACTCCTCAGTTTTCAGACCTGATGACTCCCCGTAAGGGAAGCTTGCATGGCTGTCATGGCTGGTGACACGTCTCTTGGAGTTTATGCTTGCTGCAGTCATTGCACATACCTCCTGCATTGGAAATGAATTCCTGCAGACAGGCTCAACCTTGCCTCTCTTTGATAAGCAGCCCTAGGAAGACAGAAAGGTCACAGGATCAAACATAGTCCCTGGCCCAGAGTGCATACTCCACAATTTGTGGAGTAAATGAGGACAAATACTTGAGTAGAATAAAACTGCATGTTTTTTTTTTGAAACGGAGTCTTGCTCTGTCACCCAGGCTGGATTGCAGTAGCACAATCTTGGCTCACTGCAACCTCCGCGTCCCGGGTTCAAGCGATTCTCCTGCTTCAGCCTCCCCAGTAGCTGGGATTACAGGTGTGCACCACCATGCCTGGCTAATTTTTTGTATTTTTAGTAGAGTCGAGGTTTCACCATGTTGGCCAGGCTGGTCTCAAACTTCTGACCTCAAGTGATTCACCTGCCTCAGCCTCCCAAAGTGCTGGGATTACAGGCATGAGCCACTGTGCCTGGCCCAAACTGTAGTTCTTGAAAACAGTTTTAACTCGGACACTTCTCTAGTTTAATCTGACCTATTCTGTCTCTTTCCCACCTCTCTTCCTTCCTGCTGCTGACTGTATCAGAGAGTGTTAATAACTAGCAAGTAAAGTTTGTGTGCAGTTTTACAATATGCAATTGTTCCTGATACATTTTTAATCCACCCAGCATCTCGTCATGGAATATTAATTCAGACTTCCCTGGTTTAACCTGACCTATCCCATCTCTCCCTTTCCCCGCCCTTCTTTCCTTTCCTCCCTCCCTTTCTTCTCCTTTATGTGCTCACCTAACCTTCTCTCTCTAACTTAAGGTGACCCCTCCCTTCTCTCTCCTCCAACTCCCCATCTTTCTTCCCATCTCTTCCCTCTTTTCTCTTTCTCCTCTTCTTCCCTCCCCTCCCCTCTTCCTTCCTATCCTGTCTTTCTTTGCCTTCCCTCCTCTATTCTTCCTCCTTCTAGTTTATAGTGATCTCTCCTCTCAGCCTTTGCTCCCCACCCCTCCCCTACCTGCCTTTCCTCTTCCAGTTTTCTTCCTTACTCCCAGATTTTCCAACCAGAGCTTCTTCAGTTTCTGATAATTTCAGTGAGATTTCAGAGCATTAATGCTGGGGCCTCTCATCACCACTTGAAGAAGGCTGCTTTTTAGGTCTAATCAGCACAAGGGAAATGAGTGCGAAGCTCATCAACTGTTGAAGAGAGTCCAAGTAAGGGGAGAACAGAGAGCAAAACACCAATGTTCTGTGGACTAGGAATTAACTGAAAATTACTGATGGGGAGAAAGCTATGGCACAAAGACAAATGTTGCTCCTTATTTTCCTTCTCAGGCTGATGGCTGCCTTGCTCTTCATCACACTCACACTTATGCCACATTGTCACATTCAAAACAGGCTGCTGCTGGGTATACCAGAGACCATTAATAACTAGTAACTAAGGTTTGCATGCAGTTTTACAATATGCAACTGTTCTCCCTACATTTTCTTTTTTTAATGGCATCTTGCTTCATTGCCCAGGCTGGAGTGCAATGGCATGATCTCAGCTCACTGCAACCTCTGTCTCCGGGGTTAAAGCAA